TTTCTCTTTTTTTTTCAGCCTGAAATTATGCAATTTATTTCGTTGCATGTGAAAATTCGAGCGCCTGATAAAATCATATTTTCAGCCCTGAAGTTATGTTAATTGTACTGGGGTTGGGATGGATAATCAGGGGGAAAATGTACTTTTAACAAAGGCTCTACTCTAGGGTTCCAATTTTCCATACATTTCCTTTTCAAAGGGGAAATTGTGCAGAAAACAATAACAACTTGGCTTGAAAAGTTTCGAATTTATTGGTCTTTTTTGTTAAAGGAATGAACTTTGATTATCTTTAATTAATTTGGAAATTCCTTTAAAAGTGCAACCAAATATCCCTTTTAGTGCTTTGTATGCCAACGACAAATCCTTGACTTATCCGATTCCACATTAACTCATTTCCCGCTGCTGTCACTTGAATGCAGAACGAAGAAGAGGCACTTGTACAATTTAACTAAGCACAGAAACCACTTGCACAATGCACTTATAGCCCACTATTCATTTCCCAGCCACACTCCGACCACTCTGGCACCACTGAACCACTGCACCGAGACACCCTTTAACCCACCCACCACAGCCCCTGTGGCTTAAGTCGCCACCGCAATTTAAATAAGCTTAAAAGCGCAGCAAAGACTAAAAGCAAACTTGACTGAAATGCATTTTAGTCGCCCTCCCCGCCGACTTTCCTACCCTGGCTACCAAAAAAGCCAAGAGGGGGAAAAACCCAGGGATTCGAGAGGGAAACCCCCAGCATATTGAATGCCAAATGAGCGATTAGCACTTGTCGCCCTGTTGATGCCTTTGGCAATGTCTGCCAGGATGTGACGATGATGAAGGAGCTGGGCTAAGCCCGGGGGATCTCCTCCGTTTGTTGGTTTTTTGTGATTGCGCTTAAATTACACTTAACACAAATTTCATTTGAATAAACTAAATGGAATGCATGGCCAGAGGAGACAAGCGGCATAATCAGCAAAAAACTCATTAAAATGTTTAATTAGATAGATGGCCTGTGGACGAACTTGTCTAATGGTGGCCTATTAAAATTAGATACGTTTTGAATGGGAAGATTGTTAGAAAGATTAATCGAATTTATGTTATTATCTGAGTGTTTTATGAGGGAGTTTTAAGTAGTTGATAGTCATAGATAGATAGATCCTTTAAGTTTGAAATTGTTTAACAAATGCGATTAGCCTGATGTACTCGCAGAGCCCAAAGTATTTGACAATTCGACCGCAAAAGCCTCAAATGCAATATCCTTGGAATACACGAGAGAGAACGTCAACCACAAAGGCGTCCTATCAGCAAACAAATCATCATCAGGAAACCCAGAACCAATTGCCATTAATGCATGTGAAGGGAGAGCTGAGAGAAATGGGAAAATCCAGAGAAATGGACATGGTAACAAGTCCCATATTCTGGCTAGCTGTAAGTACGCTTATTGACAGGCTGGACTGAAAACTGGCCACTAACGAGACTCGTGTGTGCGATTCTCCGACACGACAGTTGTCTAATTAAAAGCCAACAAGGCACTGATAATGCCAGCCATAAGGAACCGGATATGTCCCTCAAAATGGTATGCGTTCCATCATCATCATCATCATCATCATCATCATAGCCATCATCATTGTGGCAACAGAAATGTCATCAAGCAGGCACAGAAATAGCGGAAAAAATGGCAAACGATGGCAAACATTAAATATTGATAATAATATTTTTCACCTACCAAAAGACGTCCGCACTGTTGACACTTCGGTTTCTTCTCTTCTCTCCTCTGCTGTTCACCTCCCACTGGCAACTGGCAACTCCGGAGTTAAAGTTTAATTAAAACTTATTTCCTGAGCTCGAGCTCGAAAATGTTAATTAAAACGATGCTCAGCGAGAGATTGGCTCACATTTCGTGCGTTTTTCCGCTTTCCGCTGGTGCCACTTTATTTTTGCCAGCCAAAAACGGATTTCGTTTCGCGCGCGGAATTTCCTTTTTGCCGTTTTCCTATTTTTTCGGCAGCTACAACGATTTTCCAGCCATGCGACAGGATGAACGAACGGCGGGCATGTGATTCGAGTGGCTCCGCAAATGCAGGACAAAACTGCACAGGACACGCAGGAGCGGAAAATGAGTGGAAAATGCAGGCAAGCCAGGCAGAGGCAGAGGCAGCCAGCGAGAGCGAGAGAAAAACGAGTGGAAAACCTTCGGGTCCTACGATGAGTTTCCACTCCAAGTTGAGCCAAGCTCATGGCACGGAAAACGTTCATAAATAAAAGGCCAAAAAAAACGGTCGACTAATTGACGTATGCAGAGCGCAGCACACATATTGCCAAAGAAACTACGGTTAAGTGTAATTTTTTCCGCGGCTAAAACGAAATTGGTTATTTGCGTGCGAAACGTGAAAATGCCAGAGTGAGAGGGGGAGGGTTAAAAGGGGTGCCAAGGGAAGGCAAGGCTAACGTAATTCCTGGTAATGGCTTATAATAAATTGCCCCAAAACAAAAGCGTCGAAGAACGAACGCAAATAAGGGCCAAAATGGCAAGCATAAAAACTATAACGATTGAAATGGTAACAACTCTGCTGAGGGAAATCGTTTGAAAATTGCATTTTAATACGTGGAAAAGCAGACAGCGAAAGGTTGGAGCTGCTATTCCCGTTCGGGTTACCTCAGCTCCTCCCTCTTTATACACAATAAATCAATGGCAAGTCAATTCTGGGGAGCAGCCACGAATCGCTCGCAGAAAGCCAGGCCAAGAATAAATGACTGTGAAAATCTAGATATACTTAAAGCACATGCTAAAACCTTTAACAGCCCCTCCTGCTCCTCGAACTCTAGCATATTGAGTTCACCTGTCTGTGATGGGCGAAGAAGAGGCTATATACTGGCAAAATAAGTAAAAACAGCTTTAACTTTCAGGATTTATTACAAGTTGAGGTAGTATTGAAGGCATTGCCAATGAGTCTTATGAAAAATAATCCCTATTTATAGGTAGTAAATGGTCTGAAAATCCTAAACCTGGTGAAAGAGACTCACTCCTATCAAAAGAACTGACACCTTAAAGCTTAGGGCCAGTTTAATAGCTCAGAGTTGGAAACTGTTAAACAAGTTTGGCAGTTTAAAGTGGCAACAGCTCAGTGCCAGCTAGTCAGCTGAACAAAGGGGTGAGCTCACATGAACTTCAACTCCATCACCCATCTCCTTGCTCCTTGCCGGAGCCAACACTTCCGGGCGGAACCCACTGCGGATGGCGAGTGCATCAGCAGTTGACAAGCGACAGATTAGCTTACAATTACAACAAAGCCGGCTCTGAAAGGTGACTAAGCCGATGATGAATAGTAACTTGGCAGAAGGCTCCACAAAATCCACAGCCAGAGAAGGTGGGCGAAATGTAAATATTTGCTCAATATGTGAGCGAGTGAGCGAGGGAATAAAGTTCAGTTAAGGCCAAGAAAGTGCAGGGACAACTGCTTGGCCATGGCAATACCTGGATTTCAGGTTTAATTATTGGGCTAAAACTAAGACGTAAAATGCTAATGAGAGGGCTACTTAATATCAACAAAGGGGATTAGGATAAATATTGGTATTTTGTGTGTGATTTGAGTTACTAGGACTTAATGAAGTGAAACTATGATTAAGACTTAGATTATGACTAAAGGCAGACAAAAACTTTAAAGCTAACTTTAAGAAAAAGAATAAAGAGTACATGCTAAACTATATAAAAAGTAAACAAAACAAATTAATGATCAAATAATATAAAATAAACGATTTAAGATTACTAAAACATAACACTATCAAGACACATGCTTAAATCACAGATACTAAGGTATAGTAAACCAAACTAGTGACTCACCTAGAGCTCAACAATCGTTCGGCTTCGGCGGCGGTCATGTCATCTGGCAGGCTATCCTCCCGCGGAATCGCCGCAGCTGGAGCCGTAGCAGCAGCTTGACTCGGAACAATGGCCACACTGTGATTCACATGAACCTTGATCACCTCATCGACCACATCGTCAATGAGTTCCACATCCAGTATATCGTCGCCATTCAAGTGCTTGATTATATCCTCCTCATCCTCGCCGGCACTGGTATCCGCATACTCCAAGTCCTCTAGGGAACCCTGAGCTGGAGCTCGTCGTTCGGGAAGGACTGGGGCCACTTCCTCCTCTTCGTCCTGCTGCAGTTCCAAGACCTCCACATACTCAACAGCCAAGTGCTCGTCCTCCTCCTCGAGATCCAGTTCCTCCTCTTCGTGGGCATCGATGGAGGCAATGGGAGCAATGCCCTTGACCAAGGCAGATCGGGCGGGAGAGCAGGGGGGAGTGGACTTGGCGCTGCCTCCTCCACCCACATTCTGATCCTGGTTGCTATTGCGCCGTCTTATAGGCGAAACCACACCCACGGGAGGGGAATTATAAGATCCGCGATGTAGAGGAGATCCCTCAACGCTCGTGGAAGTGGGCGACTGGAGGTGGACACTCCTTGCAGGAGCCACTGGCTGGGATTCCTGCACATCTGGCTTGATGATGGCATAAACCGTGCTCGATTCCTGGCCAAAGCCATTGGCTCCATGGAACTTGCGCTGCATATCGGTCACCTTGGCGGTGTCATAGAGTTCAGCCTCTGATCCGTAGACCTCCCGACTTTCGCTGCCATCTGGGTTGAGGCGATAGCCCACATCAACGTAGTTCAGGCTGTGTGGCTGCTCCTCCGTCTGGTCGTAGGAAGGCTGCAGTTTGGCCTTCAGCTCGGGTGTGGACTCATTGAAGCCACCCTCGTCCTGGCTGGTCGTCGATATAATGCTCGGTGGTCGCTGGCCAAGACCGGCGGCTGGCATGTTGACCGTGATGCTGCTGCGCTTGTTGGCCACTCGCTGGGGAGATCCAGTGGCGGATCCCGGAATGGAATGTTGCTGCTGCTGTTGGGAGTTGTTGGCCTGTGCTGGAGTTTCGTCCACAGATTTGCGACCTGAAAGATGGAAGAAAAAAGGGATTTCAACTATCTGAATCTTCTGCTATTTAAGTTCTAACAAAATAGTTTTCTTTCTATAAATAAAATATGGTTTTATTCTCCTTTTCTTAGACACTTTTAATAATTTAAATAAGCATTATAGATTAGGAAAGTCCTCTTTCATCAGCCTGATCAGATCTGTTTGCATATTGAGAAGCATGTGAACGCGCTCCGAGTTCGGACTCCCAGCCGGATGAGGCTCGAAATCAGAATTATCCTGCAGGTTCTTCTTGAAAAACTTCCGATAACTCTTCAGTTCACCCTCCAACACATCCTTGTTTTCCAGATCAGGTTCACCACGCAGATCCTTCCTGATGAGCTCCAACAATTTGACCATCCGCTTCTTGGCCTCTTCAGGGGATTTACCCGCACTCCGAAAGGCATTTGGCCGTTTCTTGCTGCCCAAAAACTTAGCTGGCGAAGATTGGGAACGACAGGTGGCTAAGTGGACATGGGATGTGGGGCGGTTCAAGTTGAAATCGGCTTTCTTGTTTTGAAAAAGCTGTTGCAATTCCTCGTCACTGGTCATGGGAACAGAGCGCAGGAGCTGCCGTCTTTTAGACAATGGCGATTTGGGTGTGGATGTGATGGTTCCTCCTGAAGGACGGTGACTATTCCCAAGAAAATCAGAATATTCCGTTGAGCGGCGTCCGCTACAACTACATGATGAAGGAGAAACCGGCGCAGCTGGAAGGGATTGATTCGTGTCGCAAGGACGCTGCGTCATTTCGTTGGCCTTTGGCTGATTCTCTGAAAAGTTGACCCAAATCAACTCCGATGGCGGTGGGTTCTCGAAAATGCCAGTCAAACGCCTTTGGTTCAGGCAGACGATGAAGTGGCTCATGTAGGCGTTGCGCAGGCGCAGGTCGTAGAGGGTATTGCAGCTCATGGTGGTCAGCTTGTTAAACCACAGCCAAGCTATCCTGTACTCGGGAGATCTTTCGCAGAACACTTCCTCCAAAGTCGGTGAGCAATCCAGCATCAGGACAAAATCATTGGAGAGCAACGAGCTGTTCTGGTCATGATCATGGTCCTTGGTCTTCGCACCGCTCTGGTTATGAATGGAATGGTTACTTCGTCGCACACTGACGGGACTCTCCACGTGCTGGACATGAGTAGAGGATAAGTTCAGGAGCAGACTTGCATGACTGTGGTTCTTCCTCTTATCATTCTCCATTACTCTGTTATCTGGCATGATTTTTTCGTGTTTGTTTTTGTTCTAATTTTCCAAAACTGTCACAGGGAAAGCGAAATTGCTTTGGAAATATCCAAAAATCTGAGTCACAAAATATTTTGACACCTTTAATGAATTGTTTAATTAATCGTCCGCGCCATTATTTCCATTTTCCTAATTTATTTATTTATACACAAATCTCCAAGTCTGCCGGGGAACACGAGTGCCTTAATGGATCAGAGCTAATCGCAGGGTGTATATACTTTTGGGACTTCTCTGACTATTTTCGTGTGTAGGTGCTGCGTCTGTGCTAAAGCTGTCAACGGAAGGCATAAATATAGCCGCCTCCATGTATATATAAACATATCTAAATTGGACCTTAGGGGATCTTTAGTGGGGAGATGGAGCAGACAGGCGACATTTTTTGACTTGGTTAAACGTGTAGGCATTTTCCAATTGGCAGTGGAATGTCTTAGAAGTTTTGTAAGCTTGCCAATTATCTTAAATAAAATTCCTCAGTCGTTTTTACATATTTTTAGTTTATTATGGTTTTTGCTTTTTAACTTATACCAACCTCGACAGGCTTGACAAAGTTTTCGCAAGCTTAGACACATTTTTTGTTCACTTTCACTTGGCACTTGTTAATGTTTTGAGAAACACATGTTGCAATGGCTTTAAATGTTTGAATAAAGTAAGGATTTAGTTGATTTAGGAAACAAAATAGATATAGTAACCATGAACTACTATTAGAGGGACCTTTGACTTAAACTTAAACAGAGAATTTGATAGGGAAGCTTCATAAAAATCGAAAACTTCTCATTTATTCACTTAGCAAAATGCAAAATTAACGATAAACAGATTGTATTATGAATTTAAACAGATTTCCCTCAGCAAACACTCCTTCCCAGTAAGGAAGAGAGGAGAGAGCCTGCCACAGACATGATTTCGGCTGCTGCCCGTTGACCGGTTGACCGGTTGACCGACCACAGGACCCGGAGAGTTGCCCAGCCTGGTCAAGTGCACCCTGGCGTATGCTTAATGCCAATTAGACATGCGTGCGCTTTTAATTAAGAGCAGCATGAATACTTAATGCAAGCTAAGGGAGGGGGCAGAGAGGGAGATGAGTTGCGACCAGGCGAAGGCCAGGCCAATGCGGCGTATGTGTGATTTCTGTTTCGGTTCAAGTAAATAAACTTGATGAGAATTCAAGCCAAATTCCGAAGGTCACCAGTTGAGTGGAAGAGGCGTAAACAAACGCAATTGAAATCGATGAAAAATCGAAGGGGAGAATCACACTCTTGTTTCTCGATGTGTGTGTGTGTGTGTGTTGTATAATGAGATGCGAAAATTAATGAAAAACCGGGCCAAAAATAAATGCTGGGCACAAACAAAAATAACAAAGGAATAAAAACAAGCAAACAAAAGACAATTAATGAGAAGTAACAAATGGCAAATCGGAGGAGGGGGGTGGCAAATCGGAAAGCGAAATGGGGAAAAGTTTCCAATAAATCAAGGTTTATAAATAACTTTTCCCAGTAATTGAAGCAATGAAAACGAATAGAAAAACTGCATCTACATGTAGAAAAAATGCCTTCAATCAAAGGCGGAAAAATCGATTTGAGTTCGTAAAAAAAAAAATAGGTGGGAGGGGGGGAGAGGGAGGCACTTGCTTTTCACTTTGGAAACCTTCAGCTAGAAAAACAATAAAAAACTTGCCTAGCAAAATGCTAAAATAATTGTTTGAGTAACCACAACAAAGCAACGGCAAATTAGAGAAGACAAAAACAGAAAAGCAGGCAAAATGAAGATTTTGCGAGAAGGGCAAGAAGAAATGTCAAGACAAAAAACGGAAGTTGCTGTCAAAATGTGCCAACATCCAAGAGATAAGGAGGAGGAGGCGGAGGCTGTGGCAGTTGCAGGATGTGTGGGCGTAGATGATATAGTAAGTCGGCCCTAGTTAGGTCAACTTTCAAAAGTCCTGACAATGCAGATATGCATAATGAAAACACAAACGAAACCAAAACAAAGGCGAGTCTTAAATCTCTGTGGCTAAAAAGAGCACCCAAGCCAGGGCCTCCTGCATGGCCTGCCAAATAGCTGAGCTGGCTAAACTCCTGGAAATTCATTAAAGAAAACACAAACAACAATCTGGAAGACTGCACAAATATTTTAGATTTCTGCTCAACATAAAATTCCAGCCAATTTGGAATGTTTGAGGACATTTCTTATTCCTAAATGTGAGATTAAAAATAAAAACAAATCCAAAGAAACTGTCAATCTAAATGGCTGAAATGAAGTTTCCACATAACTTAAGCAAAAAACAAAAGGAGAGTGTAAAAACCACAACAAAAATTGACATCTAAACAAATACTTTCCATTTAATACACTTCTTAGTGCCCCAGGAAAACATCTCAATGCATTCTAAATTGATTTGGAATACTTGAAGACATTTCCCGAGGCCCAAGGAAACTATCTCACTGTAAGTCAGAGAATATCTGTCGGCCGCATTCCTGTCCAGCAGCAACAGGCAGGGAAGGGAAACTAAAGAAAAACCCACACTGAGATATTTTACAACCTCTGAATGGCGAAAACTGCAAACACATGACAATTGCAAACATTTTTGTTGTGGCATACAATTTCAAATTTGAAAATAAACTCGGCGAAGGGAGGAAGGGGAGGAAGCGGCCAAAGTGTCCGAGAAAAATGTGAAAAAATAGGGAAAAGTTTAAACGCCTGCCAGTGGCTGTTGCCAAGCCAAAAAGTGTACTCTGGCCACACACATGTGAGGGAATTTTTTGAATATTTTGTTTGTCGCCACAACAAAATGCAGTTCGCTGAACCTCAAAAGAAACAAAGAAAGGCTTCCTCCACACTTTTTCGATATCCAAAAGATGCCTTACAGCTGCCAGATGTCTGCGTTCCTTTTGCACTTGGAAAACTTTGTAATATTTCTCTGCCACCATCAATTAACTCTTTCAAGCGAAGCTGCTGTTTAAATTAGGGTCACTCGGACAGTTTGCAATTTAATTTCAGTTCGAATTAATTGCGCAATTCGTAGAGTTTTATATAAATAAATAAGTAGAATACCTCCGATCTTTGCGAAAAAGAGGATCGTCATTCGGCAAGAGCACTTTCCCGGCACAGTTCAAGATCTCAACTGATCGGCAAGTTTGAGCCAGCCCTCACCAAACCATTCAAGACATTTCCAGACTCCCAGACCGAGGATCTCTTATCAGCCAAGGGGACCGAAAAGCCAAAGCGGAGACCTCACGTGCCCCTCGAAAAGCCGAAAATCGAAACAAACCCACAACAATCACGCCCCTAGCTCATGGTTACTATATATTGTTTTGCCTTCTCGCTGCGGGGCAACGTGCGGCGAATAATTTGTTTTGATTCGCACGGATTATCTCCGATTTACTATATAGAAAGATTTTGTTTTGGGTATTCTTCAGCTTCGATTACGCGTTCGAAATCTTTTCTGGTCTTTTTTTTTTGGATTTTTGTTGCGAAAGTTCTTGCCCGCTTATCAACGCGACATCAACTGAAAGAACGAGCGCAGAAAATTTTCGCTTCTTCAGCATCGCCGCTAGTGAAGAGAGAGCGGAAAATGGGTATATAGCTGAGAGATCTGGCAGATCGGCGGACTGCTCTCTCTTACCGTGCGTTTTTCACTTGGGGGCCAGACATGTGGCAGCCAGCTTACAGGGTATTTCGAGTCGATTTCGAGGGTCGCCGCTTGTCAAGATGCCAGATTGCAAAATCCGCAAAATGAAATGTTGGGAAAGGCCAGAAATTCGAGAGAATCAGTCAAGTGTCGAGACAGATTTTTCGGTTTCGGCTAGTGATATCTAATTATAAAAGCAAATGAAAATAGCCAGACGAGGGAAGCTGCGTGGAAAATCGACTGTATAGCTTTTTGGAAGCATAATTTATGCGGAAAATCTATAAAAACACCATTTTATGGCGCTAAAGTCCAAGCGAAAAGCGGCTGCAAATTAAGTTAACTATTGTTATGGGGAAAACTAAATATTTTTATGTTTAAAAGGAAAAACATAGTAAATTAAGACAAAGGAACATCCCAATTTCTTTCTGTGTACCTGACTACTTGGACTTTACAGAGTGATTGTGGCAATTTCCAAAGAATTTCCTCTCTTGCGAAATGTCGCCTTGATGTTTTTTTTGATGCGAACATATTTCAGCACATTTTCGCAATGGACGTCATCAGTTTGGTGTGAAAAGAAATGAAAGGAAAACTGAGGAAAAACTACGAAATAAAAGAGGAAAATGCGAAGACGTTGGGTGGTCAAACTAGGCAAACAAAGAAGGGAAGAGCGAAGGGGAAAAACGTCTGCAAGTGGCTGTCGAAAAACCCACGCGCCTTTCATTAAACTTTGGATCATTGAACTCTAAGGGAAAAATAGGAAAATACAAATTATTAGCTAAGTTTTTATTTTTTGTACTGTTGCATGGCTTTTGGAAACTTCAGGCAGCATCAAAATTAAAAAAAAAAATAAATTAATATTATATTATAATTATAAATTTAATAAAAAGTCATATATTTCAATATTAAACTGTCTTAAAACCACGTAAAAACTCTAAATTCAAATTTAGAAATCATAAATAACTGCTATTTTAGTCAAGCAGTGCAAGCACTAGCGCCATCTGTTGTTCGGTAGGGCAATCATGGTTTGTGAACAAGCTAAAGCCAATAAGAATATAGAGGAAAGTAAAGACGCAACCCAACTAGCTACATACGAGAGCTCAACATCGCAGCAAGCTAAGACTCAAACCAACTAAAAGAGGAAAAAACACTGCAAACAATTTGGAAGACCGTAAATTGAACATCTTTACGGTGAGTAACTCGTGTTTGACTGTTTAGTAATATTAAATGACTTGAATATAAAATATTATTTCCAAGAGCAGAATGCTTTAATTTTCCACTGTTTATCGGTGTTTGAGCTTCTCATGTCGGCATTTAGTGTGTGTACTTTCGTGTGGCAGTGTTTGTTGTGTCTACGTTGCTTTCGTTTTGTTTGCGTAGGCGACACACAGGCA